ATCATCCTGCCTATTGCTATGTTGATATGCCTCGAAAATGTGAGGAAAATTATAGTGGGGAACAAATAGAGCTTTGTCCTCTGGTATTTTCTAAATACCAAGGGGTCAATGTAATTTCACACCATCAACATCACCAAATTAGGTGTGAGTGAGAAGAGAGGACATTCTAAAGAATGGTACGTGAGCACTGTATCACAAGGTTGAAGTGAAGTCAGAAGTGTTAATTTCACAATTTAAAGATGACACAATAAGCTAAAACCTAAACTGCTAGAAGATTCAGAACTGATTGGTATTTCAGTGAATATATATATTTTTTTACTGCACTATCTTTCTGAAACATCTTCCTGCATGTTCCATTTATTTTCATTTAGAAGAGTATTATCTTATCTAAGGCATGTGGAACATATAATCAACCATCTTTTTTAATCCATTATTGTATTTTTATAGGAATTTATAGTGATAATATGGTGGAACTTCAAAATGGAACATCCCATCTAACTAGTAACAATAAGGCCGCAAGTCTCAAAATTTTATCTTTTTTTTAGTCTTTTTTAAGTAATTCTTGACATAAGCTTTTTTTTCCCCATTACAAATGCACCCAATAATGACAGAATTGGGATCCAAGAAGCAGAGCACACTTGAAGCTCACGCACGTAAAGCAAACTGTGCAGTTTTTACGCACAAAGCGAGCTTATCTAATGCATGCTGGTTACATCACCGAAAATGGTTGAACAATAACGTCATACCCCTTGTTGGAAATTGTCTGAGCTACTAGTTTTAAAATGTTGACGATTACAGGGTCTCTCTTAAATAATATGTCCTTTTGTATAACTCCAACAGAGTCGGACATGTCAGATGGAACTTTAAATTGCATTTTGTTTGTTTACCCAGGTATAAAACAAAATATGTACATGAAAAAATAGTTTTGAAACGTTTTTTTTAGAAATTTTGAAGCCTCCTCTTGAAAAGCATGTGGATGAAACAACACGTGACTGTCTTTCGGGCCTTTTGTATAAATAGATCAACATAAGAAGGCGTCAGATGGGTCATTAACCAGGCTCAAGATGTTAGTATTTTACAAATTGTGCCCTGAGAAGGTTGCTAGTACCTGGTTCGATCCCTACAGCCTGCACTCTGGGTGCCAGAGCAAAACCCTTAACCCCACACAGTGCTCCCTGGGCGCCACACAATCGCAGCCCACTGCTCCCCAATGTGATGGGTCAAATGCAGAGAGTGAATTTCCCCACAGTGGGACAACAAAAGGGGATTTATTATTTATGGTACAAGTTGTAAAGTATCTTTGTTTTTTGGCCTTTAGAGGTCCTTTACTTTGTTTAGCATTGAGAAGTGGTATGATATAGCAACTTCGTAGAATGGGTGGCAGCCACAAAAGAAAGGGTGAATGGCCTTTAATGTATTTCTCTTCAGGGTGAAAGAGAAAATAGTTATATTTTATAACAAGTAATATTTGACACGCTAAAGGCAATATTTCATCATACATTTGCCTACAGGTGACTTTGAAAAAGCTTAAAAAAGTAGAACCTTTCAACTCTGAGTCTTGCCCTACCCTACCCTACCCTACCCTACCCAGGAACAGATAATATGGAAGCATGTTTATTTCAAAGTGAGTTTTCAGAAATCGGAAATAGGTTGAATGCCCCTGCGTGGCTAACATTCTGACTTGTTTTTCCCAGTCTCTGGGAAGGACTGAGATAATGGATTAATGGTATTTCAGAATTTTTATAAATCCTTGAAAAGCTCTTTAAAGACTTTTTGCCAGTTTTTCTAAAATATCTTGTTCCAGCATAGAGGAAAGCCATCTGTCTTTGTGTCTTAGTAGCCTTTGCATTAGAGATGGTAACAGACAGACCACACGATCTCTGCTTCTGCTGACATTTTTTTTTTTTTACTGGCCTGGGCATGTTACTTCATTAACAACCAAACAATAATATTACACTACAATTCGATAAGTGATACTTCCTAATGCTCTTCAGACTGTTCATTTTTCAGTGAATATTTAAATCACATAAGGCAATTTTTTAAACACAAAAAAAGAAAAACAAATTCCATATACTTCCATTATTTCGATAACAGCATATTCTATAGCCTTCTGGTTTGCTGTTTTTGAGATGCATACCAATGGCTCCAGGTAATAGGTAGCTGTAATGGCTAAGCTCTGTGAATGCAATGCAACATTTCTATGCTGAGCACCACTGGGTTTCCTCTCATCAAATATATTGCCCCTGCATTCCTTCTGCTTAGCACTATGCTGCACCTTGAGCTATTTATAGCAAAAACATATTGATCACTCCCCTATCCCACCCTCCATCATGCTGCCAAGAGTGGGGGACATAAAAGCGAGAGGGAACATTTTATGGCCTACCATATGCTTATGCATGTGTATATTATGAAATGAGCTAACCTGTAATTTAGTAGCAGACTCAGTTAAATTAAACAGTTCCACATACTAAATATGAGTGGAGAGAGATAAAGGCAAAGGAACTTACTTTATTGGTGTTCTTTCTCTAGTGGAAAGGTTGAAGACATTTTGGTTTCTTGTTCTGGAGTGATGGTAGAATAAGGAGGGAGACAGATTAATAAGCCGTTTCCACTGGAGTGTGTTGTGTTAAAGGACCACCAATCAAAAAGCAAAGCTTTGACAGTTTTGACAAGTAGATATGACTAATCAGAATTTTTTAGCCAATCTTGATTTCTGCATAAAAATTTGACCGATAACCTATATTTTGGCCAATTGTAATTTCTCAGAAAAAAAGATCAGTCAAAAAGTATTCCTTCTAGTCTGTCTGTTGTGAGGGATTTTTGATTATCTGTAATAGAAACAGACAATGTCACAATGCATGTCAATATCTGTGTGTGACAGAGCTGTTAAGTAACATGTAAATGCTTATTTAACTTAGATTTACTTAGACAACATTTATTTAAATTCTATTTGGGCAGATTTTCTGTATACCATTCCACACTTTTTTGACTTAAGGTTGCTAGATTGATTCACATGAATTACTCAAGCTTTCACCACCAGCCTGTCAATCTTTGAGTGTATTGGCTCTACTAGACATAGCTATGGGCTCAGCTTGTACTATGATTATGATTATCTATATGTGTCTCTTTCATCCCTTGGACATGAAAACCGGTCTGCTTAACTTTTTACCATTACCTTTCAAACATAGAAAATATCTTATGGTAAGTGTTTCTATGATCCGTTTGTATGTCTCCTTTTCTCTCTTTGAATACCCAGTTGGCCTCAGCGGAAGGCCGTTCACAAGGAACCTGTTTATGCAGGAGGTTTCTTCCTGTTGAAAGGGATTTTTTCCTCTCCACTGTGACTGTATGTATGCTCTGTGTGAGGGATTTTTGTAGTCAGTAACAAGCAGGTATCTACTGTTGCCACATGCTCATCCAGGAGGGAGTGAATCCTGCAGTCATTGATTGAATGATATTGGTGGTCTATTAAAGTGCACTGAGATGACATATGTTGAGAATTTGCAACATATAATAAACTCAATTTAACTGACATCAAATACATTTCAATTAGAAATAATCAAAATGACTAAGGCTCTAATCTAAAGCATTTTATCAGTACATAAATGCAAAGATGAATCAGAATCTTACAGAGAAAGTAAATCCTACTTTCTTTGTTCTACAGAAGACACTCTCTCATCAGATTCAATAATCACAAAATGACAGCAGTCCCAACAATCCTATCTGCTTGGCAAATGTGTTTCTTTTAGGCCATGTGGAGATTGTGATTGCATAAAAGCTAGAAAATCTGCTTGGGGTTTTGAGGGCTTCGACAAAAGGGTTTGTGGGTGTTCATCAAGCTGTCCAAAAGCCACGGTCTGGACTGAGAGCCAGAGTATGCGCTTATATTTGGCTTTAGCAGGTCCAACATGGCAGCTGTCTGGCCAAAGGATGATTGGTATGAGGCTGTGAGAGAATGTTCTGAGAGGAAATTTTGGAAAAACAAGCTTGATGATGAATGACAAACCACTCAACACATACTTGGCAGTGACAAAAACAAACGAATGAAAAAAAAAAAAAATAAATAAAACATCTGCCTACCTTTATCCACAACTGGCTACCCTGCTGAAAAATAAATGTGCTAAGTGTACTAAAATTTAGCATACTTTTGTGTACTTGAAGGCACACTAATCATTACTATACTTTAAGTGTGTTTATGATTAGTTAACTTGAAGGATGCTATTTTGGAACAACTAATTTTGTACTAAATATATTTTAATTGTAATTAAATTGTGGACAAGCTCAACTTGAAGTGTATTTAGTGTACTTTGATGTGCTAAAGTGGAACAACTTAAAGTATATTTTGTATACTTTAAGTATATGAGTTTATATGTACTAATATATGCTTAATTAGTCAAATTAAAGTGCACTATGGTTGTATTATAACTACATTAAAAATGATTTGTTAGTGTCTTAAAAATATATAAGCTTTATACTTTTAATATACTCTTACTGTGGTAATAATATGCTTAATTATACTGTTGGCTTATTCCAATTACTAAAATAGCATACTTTGCAGTTAATAGTAAATATACTTTATCATTACATTGCTATACTACTTTCTACCTTGCACATTCTTGCAAATGTATTAACAGTATACTAAATGCTGAAAGACTTGTGGATATACTTCCGTGCAGATGAAAAAATATACTTTAATGTATTTGAAACATGTCCAAATTATAGTACATTACAAATAATATAACTTGTACTATCTCAGAATGTATAAACATTTACATATCGACGTTAACCATTTTCATTATAAAACTTACAACACATTTTCAAATATTGGTACTTTAGTACACTTTGTAGAAATATGTCAATTTCAGGCAGCAGACCTAAACATTACAAATAAACTTTAAAGAACGCAGAGGAATACTGAACAATGAAAAACAACATTCCTTATTATTGCACCCCTAAACCCTCCCACCATACAAAAACACGCCCACCACACATTATTTTCCTTTTTTTGGCTGAACTGCTCATTGTTACATTTTCGTCTGATGGCCGTGCGCACATCAGAGACACTTGTCTACGGAAACTCCAGAAGAACAGCGTCTGTTAACCAAACAGAGAGATACTGTAAATTCATAGTATTTTTGAGCAGTACATCAGAAAAGTCTGACAAATTGTATCAGTATGATATACCAGGGTCCATAAGTGCACCAGAAAAAAAAATTGTCCATTTCAGTTGAATTTAAATAAATCTGATGCATCAAGTGGTTTTATCAGATCTGATCAAAAAAATTAAACAAAGTAACAACAAAAATTGTCAGAGATCTCAGAAAAGAAAAAAATTATGAATCCGCAGAAAGAAAGGGAAGAAAAATCCTTAAGTTTCCTTGTTTTTCCTACCACCCTCCAGGGAACCGGATGGCATTCAAATTGGGAACATCCTGCATCAACATCTCTGGTGGAGTCTAGTCCAGTCCATACAATGAACTGCTCAGCTGTAACAGCAGATTCTGCAACTATGTAAAAAAAAAAACAGCCTGCACACAAATGTGCAGAGCAATTACTTCAATTGGAAAATAAATCATGTAATCACCATAATATAAATTGGTTTTTACCACATTTATACAGACAAAAATATAAAGTAAAATTATCAATTTACATGTGGTTCACTGTCTAAGAAATCATTATGGTCAGTAGTCAATACTTGTATCTGGAAAAAACAATCCAGGACACCTATGAAGGGTTAATTTTACGTTAACCCCTTGTGGGGGTTTTACAGCAACATCACACAAGATGTAGCTAGCTTGAAAGTGCATTTTCTTTTTTAGAAGAGCACATGGGGGGTGTGTTAGCCTCCTTCTCACTGTGCTAATGCATTCAATAAATCAAAAGAGCTAGTAAAATTACATATATTACAAAACATTATATCCTGACTGGTTTTACATCTCAAAAAATATATATATTTCATTCACAGGTTCATGTGAACTCACCAGGATATTCTTCAACACAATAATACAGCAAATCTTCCTGCTCAACCGATTACATCTCCTGTTTCTACAATACAAATATAATAATCAAAATCGCGTTTTATACAGATATCTTAAGATTTCAAAACCAAATGGGAATGTTTTGAAAGTTACCTCTCTCCATGCAGACCAAGGCCTTAAAAGAAAAGCACGCTAGCTCTGAGCAGGGAGGAGCCGTGACTAACTGCTGTGCAGGTGTGGTGCATTCAAAGTCTATGGGAATTCTGATATCAGTACTGAACCAAAAACTCCCCAAGACTAAAATTCTTGGGGAGCTACTACTTTACAGACATCAAGGCCAAACAACCTCCACATATCACTCCTATATGCATGAAGTGCTGTCAGCGACTTTTAAATATGTGCACTCACCAATTGGTCTTGTTTGCAGTAGCCCTGCTTTGATCCATTAAACAATACTAATGAAATGTTCTTTTTTGAACACTTGAGACAATTGTAATGTGTTAAGTTTATTTCTTTTGCATTTGGCCAGTATTAACTTTTCTGTTGCAATGTGGGTTATGCTATTTGTTAGATCATAATGTAGCACTGCACCAGCTTTAAACCACTTGCTTTTCAGCAGAACACACATTTTTGTGCACCTGTACTTTTGAAGTGAACATTTAGTGTTTTGTTCAATGTGGTTTTGTGTGTAAGATGTATTTCTTTTTCAAAACTTATTAAACATTACATAACAACTGCAATAATTGCTATCTGTGTACTTTACACACAGCACAAAATTGCATAATAGGGTTTAAGTGCATTTTTGTAGTTATACTATTGAACACTTTCCAAAAGAATTACCTGAAGTACAAGCGTATATAACTTCACTTCATAATTAGATTCAAATGTAACTTAAAATGCACTCAAACTTAATATTACAGTGTCGATATTAAAATGTGTACTTTTAAAATATGCTTTCAATGTACGTTACAATGACAACTTTGAGCATACAATTTAAAATATAGCAAAAATATATGTAAAAACAAATTTAAAATAAGTACACTTTAGAAATTACACATAACTTTCACTTAAAGTATACTTTTTTAATAATATATTTCTATAAAGTGTAACATAGTGTAATTATGTTAAAGTGTGTTAAAAGTATTAGCATGAAAGCGTAATGTTAGTATACTTTTTATATATTTACAAAAAGTACAATTTGTCTAAGTACATTTTCAGTAAACTATAGGAAATATGAATATACTTGAAATACAATAAAGCACATTTTTTTTTTACCAGGGTAGTTTTAGCAAATTAAATTTGAAAAAAGTAGGGTCAGTTTAACGCAAACTGTCATAAAAGCCAGTAGAGTTTCAGAAATTAAAAAAATGACAAGTAAAGGACTTTTCACTAACTAAAGGTTTTTTTTTCAGTGAGAACATTTTTCAGCTTGAACCATTTTTTACTGTAATAAAGATCTGGGTTGCCTCTTAACACAAAGTCTGGAACCTTGCAGAGAAAGTGTGCCATCGTTTTGCCCTTGAATACATATGTTTAAAGTCAACAGGAAGAGCAACAGAAAGTCAATGCATAAGTTGACATTTAAGTATTGATAAAAAAAATAAAATAAAAATAACCTTGTGATGAAACTCTCCCTCGAGAGCATCTATTGGGAACAATAGTTATGGCAGAGACTAAACTCAATATGTTTAATAACACTACATAATAGATAATATACACTAGATAATAATCATTGCATCTAGTTTGTAAATGGCTTTTCTCAAATTACATTGCCACTCAATTTTTAATAGTTTTAAATTTCAAAGTAGGGTTTTTATTTTGAGTAAGGCTAGGGTCCTCTCAGATGCAAAGTTAGAAGCAATGTTATTAGGCATCAGTACAACCAACACCAGCCTTTGATGGTTTAAGACCTCTGAGAGAAATATAACATGGCATATTTGCCATCATGTGCACGTTTGCACAATGTAAGCTATTTGTTAGCACATTTAGAGAAAAATGCTTGAATATCTGAGCAAAGTCAAGGAAGAAGTACAGTAGCTGGGTGAGCTTTTGAACCAACCAGAATTATTAAAGCATGTATTATTCAGAAGTTTGAACATATTAAACCTGAATAAGATAAAGAATGAAATGAAAATCAGTCATTATGCTGTGCAAAGTCAGTTTTAGCGTCAAGGTAGACATCTCTTCGTTCAAATGCAAACTGGGGGCGTTATGTGTACTTAAATATTTCTTCCTGTGTATTTCTATAATATTAGAGTCACTGAAAATATTTATGAAATTTGTAAATATATATTAAATCTTTGGGGACTGAATTATAAAGATGTAATCTTTATGTAGTGATTGATCACCTACAAAGTATTCCTCAGATCACCACCAACACCTAACTAACTGTTGGTTGCTTTATATGCCCTTCAAAAAATATGTGTGTGAAAATTCATTTATTACCATTTCTGCATTTATTTTCTGAGAAAAAAAACAGAGAAAGATGTCTTCTATTTGAATAGGATTAAAATGCTTCTCTGACTGTGGACCTCACAAAAAAAACATCCATTCACACATACTGCCAGTCCAGACATGGCCTAAATGTTCCTCTTTTTTTTTTACTGTTGTAGCCTTTGAGATATCTATTAAGGCTCCCCCTAATCACAGAATGTCGTGATAACACCTCCCACGCTCACTCACGGACTTTCCCACACATGCAGGCTACCTCATACACGAAGTGTTGCTCCCATGCTGTCACTTAAATGACGACAAAGCTTTACGTGAGAGTGTTCAGGAAAGAGCTTGGCTGAGAGAGGTGGTCACGTAATTGATCAAGGTTGGCAAAGCAGGTTGTGGAGCTAATGAATCAAGACAATGGGCAGTCGGTTTAATTATGGCTGCAAGGAGGGAATCATTAAAGGGGTTCAGCTGAGGGAGGTGAACTCTGTTCATAGTTCCCATTCGGGTCATATGATAAGGACCTTTATCGGTTGACTCTAATCGCACACCATTACTTTCACTATAAGGCCCAAAGCTGGCTTCTTATAAGATTCCTGTTTGGCCTTGAGGTCCTAGTAGGTTAGCTGCTATCAGACGGATTAGCACTTTAGCAGATTGTCTGGTTTTACTAATGATGAGAGAACAAAATTAGCTCTCTTAGAGTTATTTGGCACTCTTTAAAGCTCCTAGATCCCAGCTCCCCCTAGTGCTATTTTGTTCTATCAAAAAACAGTTTGCCTCAACTAATACAAAATTAGACTGACTTTATGATGCCCTTATCATTCAGCATTTGATGTCACTAAAAGAACGGAGTTAAACAGCGAAAGTGAGGGTGTTTAGATTGTATGATTTATTGTTTCATTTATTTTTTAGTTGTTGCACAAGAGGCAAGGTTCTTTGAGTTGTTTGACTCTAGAGCACTCTGTTTTTGTGGAGTGCTTGGAGTCAGAATAAGCTGGGAGCTACTTTATCTTGACTATCGAGATAAATGCTCTCCATCTGTCAAACTGTTGGCTAGCTGGTTATGGCTGTTAGGTGGTAATTGATGTTGGGTTGTTAAATCCCTTCAATTCCCTGCTTGTATTGAAAAGTTTTGAGTTATGATCTGTTATTACACCACAAACCCAATCTAATTTTTAAAAGACAACCTTTTATGTGATAGCATGACTTTGGTGGATCAAATCCAGATCTTAACCAGGCAGTTAATATTACATTTTAATACATGTTGCAAGGGGAAAAAAAGCATTGTGCCATACTCGACCTCTTTGAAGAAAATAAAAATGACTTATTGACTTTTATCTGGAGTAAGATGATATTGTGAAAATTATTGATTCATAAATCAGCTCAGATGATAAATTAGTTTCGGGAAAATGATTCAAAATTGCCTAGTGGTAAGAAAAGGCAAACCAACTGGGAAATATGGAAGTTAATTTCATTGCTCAAAATTAGAAAAGCAATTAAAACTCCCAAAAGTGATAAGTAACAACATTGCCTCTACTTCGCAGCCAGGGAACATTACTGAAGGAAAAGCGGACATTGAGGTACACAAACATCCTTTTTGCTGTCTGTTGAGGCCACAGGTATCCTCCAAATGTGCACAACTTGCCTAAGACAGAGATGGAAATATGGGGCAATTATATATTGCATGTGGGAATCATATCAAAGACGTGGGCCTATTTAACATGCAGTAACATTAATAAATAGAACATATTACATTTCATATCACTAATGTTTCACCAAACAGCAGACAAATTGCTTGGAAAAGTTGCAAAAAACTGCAATGATCTGGTAGTATAAATAATTAGCCCCAGAAGGCCATTATTTACCTGATTCCTTTTTTCTTGTTCAGAATAAATAATAATTCAAGAAACTTAATTGTCATCATCACACCATATGAGACATAATATGCAGTGAAACATTTAAAGAGACCTCTACAATCTGCAAAACACCATTAGAAAACACCATTAGAAAATATATATAGTATTTAAAAGCAATATTAAAAATATAGACCACCAGTGCAAGAAAAGTTAGAGGAAGAACCTCAGGAGAAAACATGATATAATTGTAGCAGATATATATAAAAAAGAAGAAACATGGGCAAATATTACGGTATATTCAGCATCTATAATGTAGAAAGGAATTTAGTGTGTACTTTACATAGTATATGCATCATGCACAACTAATTCCAGTTCAGTCTTTGAGACAGGCCGATGGTCTGTTTGGTTTAGGTGTTTTTGTGTGTTTCATTGCGTCAAAGTGGGAGTGTGCGGCTGCAAGGGGGGGATGCTGAAGATGAGTCAGGGCTATGTGAAGTGCTAATGAGACATTATCCTGTAGAACGATTCTCCCTGTAAGCAAATTGATGTACTTTAGGAGGATCATCTCAAAACACTTCATGATGGCTGGGGTCAGAGCCACAGGATGGTAACTGTCAAGGCAGGTGATGTACATTGGGAAAATGGAAAGATGTAGAGACAGGTTGAAGATTTCTATATCCCAATATAATGGGTGCCATTTGTGCCAAAAATATGTTCATGTGTGTTGTGACTTGTCCGTGTGTCTATTTAAGATGTGTGTCTGACGTGCTCCTGTAACAGAAGCTGTATATGCAGTGGGTTTGTGTGTACAGTATATGCCAGGTGTATATGCTGTGTGCATATGTATTGTGTCTATGTGAAATATGTGCATATCATGGGTTGTTCTTATTTTTCTCATTATATGTTGTTCGACCATGTTGTGGAACCTGTAATATTTGCCTACTGTCACATGATATTGTTTTGCTCCATCTCACTGTTGTTAACACCTGTCTTTCTCCTCTGTCGTCACATGATTTTGTTTGCTCTGTCATTCAGACCTGTCGTTAAAACCTGTCATGTTCCCCGTTTTCATTTGACACTTAATTCCAATTAACTAATGGGAAAGAAATGCCGTTTACAGATAAATTATTAAATTAATACCTAACTGTCATGTGGGATTACTTCAGGCTTGTTTTTATTTTCATGAAATGTTAAGGTTTATTTCTTTTTTTCTCAATGTATTTTGCTGTGATTCAAATCAAGGTTAAAACTAGTTTTACTAGTTGAATGATCAAAACTCTAATTTGCTTATCGACCAGGGTTTTAGACTCTAACCTAAAAGGTTGGACTCCTGAATCCGGCTGTTAAAAATCCAGTTGTCTTTTACAAATTTAGTAATTTAGG